CCATCCTATCTGTCTGAATACATCCATTCAGTGGAAGATAATGCTTGTGATTATTGGAAAGAAGAATAGCTTAATTAAATCTTTTATTAAGCCAACAATAGTTAATTTTAATTTAGCATTTATTTGCTATGTCCATTCCCCGGGCCATGAATGCAAAATAATTACCAATCATTCCCTCGTTTTCACCTGGACAAAAATGTAAACAATAACAAAACTTTTCTCGTTTGATTCAGATCTTTTCCGCGTTCCACGTAAGTATTGTTTTTAATTGTGAATTTCGGGAAATATATGCAAAATTTCCGAAAATCTTGAGACTTGAGATAAGTAAGTATGCTGCAGTTCAAGCTGAAGTTGCTAAATATAATCATTTTTTCTGTTTTTTTTCCGTCGATCTTGTTTTCCGTACTAAGTACCAATGCTCCCGACGCCAGGAAGGCATCAGGACCAACGGCTTCACTTCCCTTCCGAAGGAAGGCGTGATCATTGAAAAAGAAAACAAAACATTAAAAAAAAATTGGCCATATAATTTTGAATCAATAAACATATTTTTATTTCTACTGAGTGAATTGTCAGACTTCATAAAATAAATATGATTGAATCAACAAGAAATCTCTTTTAAAAACAAACATATTTTTGTTGTTGACCCAGCTACCAAATTTGACAGCTTACGTCAAAACCATGAAAGCTTTTGTAAATTCGAAAAGATTTTCTTTTTGATTTAACAATCCATGGGTTCTTAGAAACAAAGGTACTGGATTGTTGAAATAATAATGATTTCTTTTTGCAGCCAAAACAAAATGAAATTCTTATTAATTTTACGTCAATTATTGATGAATCTACGCGAAACTGCACCAGTGCATGCGACACCTAGGTTTGAAATCCAAACCCACAAAAGTGATGATATACTAAAAAATATTCCATACGATTTGACAGCTAGCAAAACGTCATTATCATTTTCACATCATTTCCATCTGCTGGCTGACCGTAACCAGACCCCCTTCACTCTTTGGATTTTTTAGAGACAGATAACAGCGCCAAACGGTTTGTGACGAGACAACGTTGAACTGCAGCGTTGGAAGAAAACACGCACGCCAACATCTATACATGTACGAACCCACACAACTGAGCAGACGGTACAGCGCAAATCTAAACACGAAGCGGTGTCATCACTCATCATCATCATTCAGCTTCGGCTACTTCCGTTTGCGTTTGCTTCTACTTGCTACTTCCTACGTTATAAAATAGGAAAGTAATGATAATTCCAATGTAATTTTTGAATAGAATGCGTGCTGCGTTGGCCAAAGAAGACGACATATTTTATTACGTTTAGCAATGATTTCGATACGTTGCATTTCCAGTGACTGGGGTGTTGAAATAATTCTTTAGAGAGAGTGAATGCTTTTCCCATGTTTACTTCTATGCTTATTAAGATTCTTTAGAGCATCAGCTCCGCAAATCATCAATTACTATTAGAGATTTGCATCTTACTGATACCGGTGGTATATTGGAAACTCTTTCGCTCGAAAGCAAAACATATTACAAGCACATCATGATGCGCGCTTGGATGTGTGATTGTTTTCTCAGGTGTTTCTGTTGCGTATTAAGTGGTAATGATTGAAAATCGGAACAATCACAAACAAGTAAGAATCTTGCTATCGCAATATAATGATGATGACTTCGAGGATGATATCGTCCTCTTTCCTCGGCTGATCATCAACGTAAGCATTGACATCTATCATGCTGACACCTGTCAGTTATTGAGCCCAGGTGGTGAAGTTGGTGGGGAACTCCCAACAGTTTCAATGTGCACTCAATAGATAGCACTGTGATCACATACGGGTGGTAATTATATGCCTTGTACACGGACAGAAAATTGTTTGCATTGAACCAAAAAAAATCTTTAATTGTATTTAAGCAAACAATTCCAGTTGAAATTATATTTCTTTTTGTTGTTTCAATAATACTTATTCATATAAATTCAAAATATGATTCTTTTTGTTTTAATCAGCCACTTTTCAAATGCAACTATTGTAAAAATAACAATATTCTATTATTAAGCCAACAATAGTTAATTTTAATTTAGCATTTATTTGCTGTGTCCATTCTCTGGGCCATGAAAGCAAAACTAACTACCAACCATTCCCTCGTTTTCACCCGGACAAAAATGTAAACAATAACAATACTTACGCGTTCCACGTAAGTATTGTTTTTAATTGTAAATTTTGGGAAATAAGTGCAAGATTTTCGAAAATCTTGAGACTTGAGTTGTGTTTTTCTGTTTTTTTCCTTTATTTTTTTCCGTCGATCTTGTTTTCCGTACTGAGTACCAATGCTCCCGACGCCAGGAAGGCAGCTCCCACATCTGGACCCTACATATCGACCCATCAACTCATGAACCGGGGGCTTTTATTTTATGCCTCAGAAATTCAATTACAATTTCTGCAATTTTGTTTCAAAATGAAAACGAAACATAAAAAAAAATGCCATATTATTTTTACATCAATAAACACATTTTTATTTTTACTGCGTGAATTGTCAGACTTTATAAAATAAATATGATTGAATCAACAAGAAATCTCTTTTAAAAACAAACATATTTTTGTTGTTGACCCAGCTGCCAAATTTGACAGCTTACGTCAAAACCATGAAAGCTCTTGTAAATTCTAAAAGATTTTCTTTTTGATTTAACAATCCATGGGTTTTTAGAAACAAAAATACTGGATTGTTGAAACAATAATAATTTCTTTTTGCAGCCAAAACAAAATGAAATTCTTATTAATTTTACGTCAAATATTATTAGTTTTAAAATATTTTTTTCTGCGTGTATGAGGAATCGATTAGTGGGATATCTTGTTAATTAGATATCTTTGATATCTTGTTAATAAGATATCTTTGATATCTTGTTAATTAGATATCTTTGATATCTTGTTAATTAGATATCTTTGGTGCAGCACATGTTTGAAATGATCGGTGATGATCCTGTGGAGATGTTAATGCTTATATCGGCATGATCTAACCGATTATAAATAGTTTACTTTTCGGTTCGTTAATCGATTTAACGATTATTCGAATGAAAATCGGACATCACTAGATGAATGTGAAACGTCATTTCAAATATAAGGCCGTTCATAAATAATGATGCAATTTGAAAGGGACCGGGGCTAATCACAAATTACGTCTCCATGGTAACTGAAATAAGCACGAGTGTTCACCGGTTGAACAATCGTCGCCTACCTCGCATAACTGGTTCCAAACGTAAACAAGCCATAAGAAACCTACAGGGTTTGTTTACGTTTGGAACCAATTTCATATAAGAATGATCAGTTGGCTGATTTGACAGCACGTCCCACCCCAGAACGGAACCAACTAAAACCACAAACGAAGTGACAGACGACTTACTGGCGAAGAAATCCATTTAAATAATGTGGTTCACTGTAATAGAATTTTCTTGGAAGCTTGTGCCATCATCCACCAGATGGGTTAGTTTTTTTGTTTTGATTTGAACAAAGTTGATTTTGTGTACAATGATTCTTTGACAGTGTGCAAAGAGTGCGTATCATTTTGTCATTTTTTTATGCATTTCAGTTTTGAGTAGAGTGAAAGAGATAGAACCAAAATATTCTAGTACATTTGGTGAAAATGCTAGTTCAATCCAATAGTAGTGTTGCCATGTGGTACAATCCAGTAGTAGTGGTGCTAAAACCACAAACGAAGTGACAGACAACTAACTGGTGAAGAAATCAATTAAAATAATGTGGTTCGCTGTAATAGAATTTTCTTAGAAGCTTGTGCCATCATCCACCAGATGGGATAGTATTTTTGTTTTGGTTTTGCTCAAAGTTGATTTTGTGTACAATGATTCTTTGACAGTGTGCAAAGAGTGTATCCAAGGGGTGGTCACTCTACACACTTGTTTTGCGCCAACTTTTTTCTCAGTGTACCTCAGCGTGCCGCAGCTGCACCGGCAGTGCCAAGAAGTCATTGAACTGAAATTTGATTGCTTGTGAATAATGCCTGGTTTGGCAACCCGGTATTTTAACAGCTCTTGTTTTTGTTTTGTATTTCAATGTTTCCAAAACGACACGGACTCCAGTTGGGACTACACACTGGATGCATCCGTCTCCAAGGATGCCTGCAACGGACGAGCTCCGTTGCTACACGATCCTTCTATTTTCGGCGGAAGGCCGACCCCGCACAACGAACGTCAATCATTAGTCAACCAACTCTTATGGGAGCCGGCGGAGGAAACGGATTTGCACCGAATTTTTCACCGCCCGAGCATCATCCGTCGGAAAACTGGAAACCAACCCCGGCCGGAACACACGTCGGACTGATGAAGGACGCACCGCTGACCCAAAACGGAAGAACCAATTTTCCAAGCAGAACTACTTGTCAGAGTCCACCAACCCGTACACCCTGCCGGACAATTCGATCAGCTTCAAGGTCTACAGCGCCTCCAAAACAATCGCTTCCCAGGCCAGCAAAAATCGCATTCTCAACTTCTTCAATACCCCACCCGTATGCCGTCCGAGGATCTGCTGTTGACTGCATTCACCATCAAGGACTACCACCCGTCGCAAGTGCGAATGTTCCCGCTGAAATCGGAAAGTTCCTCCTCCGGATTGGTCGAGTTCCCGAGCGTAGCCCTGGCGGTGAACACCATCATGAAGTGCAACCACAGCGCGATCGATCACAAATAGGCAAAACTCCCGTTCATTATGAAGCTGTTAGTTCGAAGTGTAAAAAGGCAGGAGTAAAAATAATTTGTTGAACTATTTGAGATTTTGCCAAGACGGTCCTCCACCATTATATGTTGGACGATGGAATGATTGGTGTAGCAGCTACCGCCATGGATGTATTCGAGCAGTTCGAATGGTCGGATGGTATAGTTTTTGTTTGGTTGTTGACTTTCCGATTAAAACTCAAGCACCGCTTGTCGTGACCGGCCCAAGATTTCCAGCGTCGGCCACGGCTACACGAATTAGCGATGCTGCTCCCACGGCTGCGGCTGCTTCCAATGCTGCTGCTGCTTTAGTTGCTGCTGCTGCTGTTCCTTCTGCTGGTCCGTTTCCTCTAAAATTCGTAAAAAGACGGACCAACAGCAGCATTGGAAGCAGTCGCAGCCGTGGGAGTTGCATCGCTAGTTCGTGTAGCCATGGCCGGAAACCTCGGTCAGGTCAAGATACCGCTGTTAGCTGTTCTTCGCGAGGTTCTTCGTCATCTGGGACGGGGAGGAAATGTGGATGCGACTGCCGTCACGGGTGTAACGATTTTGAGAATCCATGGCGAGACTTGGAGGAGATTCACGGTTGTTTTGAAAATAATTTGACTAGGAGTGGCAATATCAATAACATTTTGACACATGCGCACTGCGCAGGCGCAGTGAAATATCAGAGTTGCCAGTAACTTTAAAGATCATAAAAATTGTAACCATGGGTGCCAAACAACGCCAATGACTGCACCCGGGTGTGCCCAATTTTGATTTTGGCACACTGTGTAGAGTGACCAACCCCTTGAGTGTATCATTTTGTCATTTTTTTATGCATTTCAGTTTTGAGTAGAGTGAAAGAGATAGAACCAAAACATTCTAGTACATTTGGTGAAAATGCTAGTTCAATCCAGTAGTAGCAACAATCAATACGAAACTAACGATTTTAAATTGGCTCACCACTTTAGTAGCCTATTGGTCCCAAGCAAACGATTAACGTACCCTATTCTAGTTGAAATTCTATTACTACACTATGTTTGTTTTGATTCGCTATGAAAGTTTGACAGATAACATCAGGGGTGTGTGGATTCATGCAGAACATGCAGGGGTGAGTGAAATAGCTTGGGACTGCTTGGGACCGTTGTTCTGGTACTGAGTGAGCCAAAAATAATAATGATTTTCTTCGGGACCCAGTGGTCTTAGAGTTACCTCTATGATAGTAGCACAAACGAAGTGACAGACGGAGCGGCTCGAAATTTGATTTGACGCACTTACATTTGAAATTTTCGAGTGTACCTCACGGCAACACTATCTACTCATATGTACTAGCTTAAAGTAGGGGGTACCGTATGTTATCTCTTTTTATCTAACGAAAATTGAAAGGGAGAGCCTGTTGTCAAACAGCATGTCATTATGACGTTTAGTTGTTATCTGCTTTTCTTTTGTATAATAAAAGATCATACACACTTAGTTTTTTCTACCGAGCTCGGCTGTGCAAATCTCGGCAAAATAAGTTTCACTGAGATCTCAGCAAAAGTGACATTTGATTGCTGAATCTCGGATAATGTATAGCCGAATCTCAGCAAAGAAATGAAATGTTTGCTGAGATCTCAGTAAAACTTCTTTTGCCGAGATTTGCACAGCCGAGCTCGGTAGAAAAAACTTAGTGTGTAGGCCAAAATGATTAGGGGTGAACACATCGGGTTAACATTTGCTTACAAGTGAACGATGTTGAGCTGTTAATGGCTCGCGCTTGTTGCCATTGTTGCTACAGATTTCTTCAGTCCGTGCTTCTAACCAAAGTCATTCGCTCCTCCGTAGCGCAACTGTTGACGGTCTTCGGGGAGTCGGAGGATGGTGATAGGAAGGAGGACCTACTGCATTTGTAGGCATTGCTGGAAACACTGAGGTACCTGATTGGAGTGTGTCGCGAGCTGGTGGATGGAATTCGATGGCGCTTTGTGCTTAGAATTTATAATTTGGCGGTGAAGTTCAGTGGGAAGGTGGTAAGTTTAGTTCAGGCATAGCATTTGATAACGGCACAAAAGCATTTGTAAACAAACTTTCTAAGGCCCTTTACACGTGAACCAAAGTACGCCCACGCAAACCAACATCATCGGATAGGGGCAACGGGGCAACTATCATCTTTCCGAAAGTGGTATTGGTTTGCGTGGGCGTACTTTGGTTCGCGTGTAAAGGGCCTTAGAAAGTTTGTTTACAAATGCTTTTGTGCCGTTATCAAATGTTATGCCTGAGTTGATTTTGTTTAGAAGGATTCTGTGTAATAAATTTTACTTTTTCAGGATAAACGACACATATTAGTGCAATGCGCTTGCTTGCTGGAAGATTGCCATTGGGCGGAAGAGCACACGGAGCTGTTGCTAAGGGTTAGCCGGGTGGTGCTCAAGGCGATATACGATGCACATACAGGCAAACGGATCAGCAAAGTTTATTTTGTCTGGATTGGATGTGATCTGCTCCACCACAATTCGATTGTTGCGGCATTGGTCCGAGTCTGACGAGTTTGCGATCCGGGCGAAAGCAGTAGGGATCTACAACGATGTGTTCGATAACTCAACGGTGCTGCTGTATCGACTGTTCAGTGTGTATCAGAAACTTTTCGTATCAGTGATATATAGAGAAGTTTAGCGAGATGGAAATGGCAGAATTATTCCACAAGAGTTTGCCTAATGGAAATAATTCTTAGCTTGGGTGAGGCTTCCAAGCAGTACTTACAATTAGTGGAGATTCCTTTCCACCCTATTAAGCACAACACGCACTCAGTCTTTCTTAATTCAGCACAGTATAGCATCAAACTAAATGTTATTATTACTGATGACTTCCAAATTTATTTATCTTTCTGTACGTACCGTAAGATTTAATAAAGAGAAACCAATCGTTGAGATATTGTCAAAAGTCTAACACTGCTTCTTGATGCCAAACTCGGCCTACGGATTCTAAACTCGGCCTAATGCATTGAAACGCCATTGAAACGCCAATGAATTCACTTCGGCCTATCGGATGAAGACAAAAATTGATTCGGTTGGAACGCTTCTTTTGTTTTTGGGAACAATGGGTGCAAACCTTCATACCACGCGTTCTCATTGACTTCGTTCGGTAGCTTATTAACTGAAGTATCGTACCAAACCCATAATTTACTTGTTAACTCTGAAATCATGGATTTATTTGATGTTTTCTGCTCGATAGGCCCAAAATGGGCGATTAGACCGAAGTAGTTCTCTACCCTATTTTTGAAAGAATAGAATCTAGAATAGAACAGCCAACGGCATGTTCCGTATAGATTTTAAGGAAGTATCTCAACTTTTTAAAACAGCTCTGTTCTGGATATGAAAACGCTGAAATTCATATCAGAGACATTCAAAATCCTCAGTGTGAATTCCCCTCCGGATCAGCTTTTGGTAGAAATCGTTATATTCATCACACTTCAACTGCGGATACATTTGGATCAAATTAAGCAGCAGGCTTCGGAGATAGCCGAGCCGATCATTGAATTGTGCAAATGTTGGTCAAATTCAGTAAATACTGCCCTAGGAATCAAGCCCAGATTTGCTCCCGCTGTGGAAGCTCCAGTTGGAATTTTGTGGATTACATTTCAACGATAGTTATAAACTTGGCGATGACCATGTTCAAGGCCGGACAGGAAATCAGTCAAGACCTGGTCGGATTGGTCAAATGATTTCTGAAGCATAAAATGCTAACTCTGGACGATTTGGGATGCGACAAGAAGCAATCGCTGCTGGACTCCGGGTTGCGATTTTTGGTCAATAGGATACAAAGTGATTGGTGAGGCAGAAGGAAACAAGTCAGCTCTTTCATTATCACGACGTTCTTATGCATAATATAGTGTGACGTAACGTTGGATCATGTGTAAGAACACCATGAGAACAAAAGAGACGACTACATTCCTTCTGCCGCACCTATAGTAACGCACACGGCTCCCGCACTGACTGTTCCTTACTTTCTCACTCTAATCAAAATTTCCTTCGATGAGTGAGAAAACAGCACCCCGTCAATGCGAGTTGCCAGATCATTGCACACAAAACCAACTTGAATTAATTCAAAACAAAATACTAGCGAACCTGGCGGTGAGGGGCGGAAGTAGGACTAAAATTCTATTACAGAGAACTACATTATTTTAATTAATTTCTTCGGAGAAAGTCGTCTGTAACTTCGTTTGTGCTATAACACCACTCAGTATGAAAGCGGATTGAAAAAACCTCAATAAGGAAAAAAAAAACTAATACTGAAAACGGAGTGCAAGCAACACTAGACCGAAACAGTCGAACGTTCGATACGGAATCCAAATAAGATTGATCCCCTCAATTGCTCGTGGAACTCATCGGAATTCATTGTTATGATATTCATTATCTCCTGATAGGATTCCATAGAATTTTTATTAAGATTCTTTGGAACCTTCCTTGGAGTTATTTTTAGTTCCTGACTAACTGAGAATACCGTGGGATACTCTAGAATTCCATTTAATTTTCCACATAATCACACTTGAGGTTCTGAGTTATTTCTCTTGGAATACCCTAGAATTCCTCTTTGGTGCTCCAAACTTACTTTGGTGATTTACTGAACACCCTCTGGGATAAAATGATGCTTTAAAATAAATTTCACGGTAAGGTATAACCACAGACAAACAGACATAACTCTCGCAAGTTTTTCATCGAACAAGCATTTAACGGAAAATTTAAAAGTATCGTAGTTGGTAGTACCGCCACCTGCGGCGCGCATAGTCAATTCCCTTGCGTTTGACGTTTACGCACTACCGCCATCTATTCAGTGTAGTGCCCACCACAGTGTACTCAACAGATGGCGGTAATGTTTTAGCGACGACGTTTCACAGTGAGAAATATTCAATGTGTTATGTCTGTTTGTCTGTGGTATAACTTCGGATGCTGAATCACTTGAGAATAGTTTGGAATCATTAAGTGCTATTTTTACAATTTTGTCTTTGTTTATATTTTTTAATAATATGTCTTGAGAACAAGTTAAAACATTACTGCTAGCTGACGTTATGCAAGGAATTAAAATATTGCTTTAATTTGGTTTTTGTCATTGTAAAGTCAATGTTGACTTCGTGTCTGCCATCGGTGAAGAGTAACAACACTGTTTGTGACGGTTAAAATATAGTGCCTTTAAGCTCCACTTTTCTATCACTAAATATACAGTATTTTTAAGTTTTTTATTGGATTACTGTATTTGTTTGTGCTATTGAAAAGTGTTAGTCCATTGTCATTTACAAATTAAACGGTAAGGCGTGAAAATTACCTTGAAAACAAGGCTTATAATTTGGTGAATAATCTATATCGTGAGGAAGTTTGATTGTAGTGTTGTGATATTGTCTCCGACGGTATTGTAAGGGAGAACAGCCCATAATGCACCCCTGGGGTAAAATGCCCACTTTTAGAAAAACAGCGATAACTTTTCTTCAGATGCATTTTCCGGGTAACGGTTTGTGATTGTTTTCAACTGGAGGTTTCACAAATAATTCTTGATCATAAAATCATGTATTGACCTGCTGATTCCTTAAAAAAATTACATTTTGTGCAAAACAGGACACAGTTGTTAAAATCATCGACTGTAAATTAAGCTTTTAACATCATATATCACAAAAAAAATAACAAATTTACGTTTCGTATATTTTTTAGATATTTTACTTGATGAATCACAGTTTAACATTCTATTGAGATTTTGAGACCTTATTTCTGATGTAACATAAAGAAATAATCATTTGAAATACCGCATCCCTTTGCATTATCTACTTGCAGGGGTTATGGTTTGTTTACCATGGGGTGCATTTTACCCCAATGTTGTGGTGCGTTTTGGCCATTGTTGTCGTGCGTCTTGTCCCAATGTTGTGGTGCATATTGCATCATGAATCAGGCGTTTTGCCCCGCTATCATTTTGGAAGCAATTTAAAAAATAACTTGAAAGTCATGGAAAATCATCCTTTTGTAGTTCTAAATCCTCGATCTTTGTAGAAAACATGGTAATGAACCAAACGCCATTACTTTCTTCTTGATTTTAGCTTCCATTCGCCAGCCATTGACGATTTTGCTTAAAGGGTGCGTTTTGCACCATCCTACCCTATATTTGCTGTTGCTGCTGCTGTTGTTGTCTGTTCTCTCACTGTTTGGTTCCGTGGCGGAAAGTTGCTAGGCTATAAACAATCTCGAAGCTATTCTAGTACGTCTCTTTACACACGCTTGTGGTTCGGTCGTGGAAGGCAAGGGCCAGTTTCACTGTATGCGACTGTGCTCAGACAGTTTGCATATATACAGAAGTGGCTGTGGTCAGAGAAGCAGCTGATTTAGCAAAAACAGAACGATTGCTAGCAGATGTTTGGCTAGCGCAAATAGTGCCGTGGGATCCTTGATTGGATGGTTATCTAACCGCGAAAACAACATTTATTGCTTACCAACAATACAGACAAAACTATCTCAACTGCCATCAAATTTGTTACAATATAGATGGTTCATCAAAATATCAGCTTGTTCCTTTGCATCCGCCGATATATTTTTTCTGCATGTACAATTGTGTGTGATCGATTTAAGTATCTTCTCTCTTTCTGCTACTGTTTTTGTCTAAACAGCTGCTGATATGGATGGTGATTTTGTTAGCTGCGTTGTATGCAAGAAGCAAGAGCCAGATCCAAATAAAATCATCTCATGCATGTATTGCTTTCTGCCGCTCACTTCAAGTGTAGAAATATCATCGGTAGTGCTATTAGCCGGGCGAAAGGAAACATGTTCTTCTGCACCACAAGTTGCTCTGAGATATACAAGCGAATCGTAGAGATGCAGAACAGCAGATCTTCAATGATGAGCATGCTCGCTTCTGAGCTGAAAGATACTGTTGCCAGTGTTGTTGCTGATCAAATGACTTATGTGAAATCGGAGGTTCGTTCAGTAACAGCTGCCATTGAGAAATCGCAGGAATTTCTTTCAGCAAAGTTTGATGAAATTGCATCAGATTTTAATAAACTTAAGACCGAAAATGAAAATCTAACACAGCAAATTTGTGATCTGTCTAAATCGCATGTTGAGTTAACTAATTTTGTTTACCAACTGGAGGCTAATGAAGATAGGTCGGATCGTAAGGCAGTGTCAAATAACGCAAAGTTGTTAGGGCTCCCAAACGTAGAGAATGAAAATACAATGAAATTAGTTGATAAAACTTTAGCTCATATCGGAGTAACCTTGCCATCAAATTCGATTATGTCAGCGAAAAGATGGTATGTTAGTAACAAAACAATCGGGGTGGTCCCCATTCAAATTGTGTTTAAAGACAGGAATAGCAAGGAAATTGTTCTCTTTCGTAAAAAAGGAGGTTGGAATCATTCCTTCAACCAACATTGATCAATCTTTTCTAGTTAATGGCAAAGCATCCAATGTAACAGTAAGGGATGAATTCTTTTAGATTATACGATTTGGTTTTAATTTAGTCCATTTATTTATTTATTTATTTATTTATTTATTTATTTCGTCAACCAACGTAGACTAGTACATATGAGAATACAGTTTTGTTTTCTTAAATTTATTTATTTATTACGTCAACTTTGGACAAAAGGTTAAAAGTATAATTTTTTCTTTAATAAAAATTAAGCAGTGTCAGCTTTCCTATTTTTTATGAGTTATAATGCCTTATGGAGTAAAAATATTGTTTTAGTTTATGCCGAGACATTGTAAAGTCAATGGTTTCGCAGTATTGATTGTAAGAGGCCATCATGCGGTTTTGCATAATTTGTACGATGATGTTTTATGGCAAATACATTTCGATTTCGGAGTTGCCGAGTAGGTGCATGGAAATTTAATTTTGATAAAAGTTCTGTGGAGTCAATGCGTTGCGAAACGATATCGTTTACAAATGAAACCATTGCATATTCACGACGCTCTTTTAATGTTTGTATGTTTATAAGCATGCAGCGTGCTTCATATGATGGAAGAGGAAATGATGTCCAACCTAATTTACGAAGAGCGTATAATAGAAATTGTTTTTGTACGGATTCTAATCTTTCTTCGTGCGTGATTGAAAAAGGAGACCATACAATGCTGCAATATTCCAGTATTGACCTCACATAGGCGATATATAGTGTTTTAATTGTGTATGGGTCCTGAAAGTTATAGCAAAAGCGCTTGATAAAGCCTAGCATGTTATTTGCCCTGTGAATAATTGTGTTGTAATGGTCTATGAAAGTTAGTTTAGAGTCTAAGATAATTCCTAAATCCCTAACTCTTTCACATTTTTCTACATTTTGATTTCCTAGTGCAATTGAAATATTTGAAGTTGTTCTTTTCCTGCTAAATGATATTAAGTTACATTTTTTTACATTCAATTCTAGTAGACTTTTTTTGCACCATATGTAGAATATGTGTATTTCATTCCGGAATATATTGATGTCTTCTTCATTTCTTATTTCTAAAAAGAGCTTCATGTCGTCGGCATAAATAAGACATTTAAGTTTTTTGAGAATGAAAGAAATGTGTGGGTTAGGTTTTTCTATGCGGTAAGGGTTAATAGTTTCCCCTTTTTGAAAATTTATAAATTTCGGTGTACTGTCTTTACTTGGTGGTCCAGAAAATTGTATGCGTGCTGCGGCTAATAATTCTTTGTCCAGGGGTAATGATGTCCATGTGATATTTCCATTTCCGTTGTTGCTATTGTTGTTGTTGTTGTTGTTGTAGTTGTTGTTGTTGTTGTCGTTGTTGCTGTCGTTGTTGTTATTGGTGTTGTTGTTATTGTTGATGGTGTTGTTGTCGGAGGTGGCGTTGTTGTAGCGGCTGTATTCATTTCCTTGGATGATGTTTTTGGTACTGCTGGTGTGAATTTGTTTTCGTCGTTTTCTGCAGCGTTTGGCTTTTTCTGCAGCTTTTTCCTGCAACCTGCGAGTCCGTTGTTTTGCGTCAAATTTAGACCAGTCTTGCTTCCAGTGCCATTTGTTGCCTAAAAACCGCCATCCAGGAGATGAATGGTCAGTTTTTGGAGATATTGTATTTTTGTGTACTGGAGGACTTTCAGCTAATTCTTCCTCCAAGGTCTTCTGATGAGGTTCTGCAGCATTTATCTGAAGACTAGAAACAGCCCCAGATACAAATTTCACTTCCTCGAGAATTTCCAGAAGTTTTGGCTCTGGATGATGATGATGAGGTGATGATTCGGCCCCTTTTATTGAAAGTGCCATGTCATTTGATAAGCTTGATAGCCGTTCGTCAAGTAATTTTGTAATTTTTTGTGACATCAACGAATTTGATTCGTTGATGCCGGTTATTGTCGCGTGCGCTTGTGAATCACACGTTTTCATATGCTGGCCGACCGCGCTGCACATGTTATTATTATTTTTATTTATTACTGCCAACGTTTCTTTTACGTCATTGAGCAGGTGCTCAATGCTGTCGAATAATTCTGATACTAAGCAAAATTTTTTTAGGTCAGCAGCAATGCGGTGATTCGCGTCCGTTTGAGAGTGGATTGCTTCCACAAGTTGCTCCTGTTGATGAAGCAGCTTCCTCACGTCGGCTTCCTTCCGTAAAATGTGCTGGCAGTCAGCACACATTGGCACCATGAATGCCGTGATGAAATGCTCCCGTTGTCGCTGTACTCCGACACAGGCAGCATGGTATTTTTTGTTGCAGAATTCGCACTTCCATAGAAAGCGGTCGTCGTTGATACTGCATGATATTACACCGCACGGCATAACTGCTTATGTTGTAAATATTCGACGAATACTATAAGGACAAATGGCCAGCGAGACCCACACGCGTCGTTGTCGAAGTGTAAAAAAAAAAAAAAAAATATTTATATATATACAAATTACTTGCGGAGCAAAATGCAAATGCGTCCGCGCCCGAAGACAGCTCGTAGCGAAAAAAAACTAACCCCATTATCCATGGAATTGCTACGGAAAATGCGTGAATACCAAGATCCACTCAAAATTAAGTTTGTATGGCCAGGAAGAGGAGGTGGCATACTTGTAAAAAAAGAAGAAAATTCTAAACCAGGTCTGATTAAAACTAGGGAGGATCTTAATATTTTGATTAACCGGTGTTCTATGTTAGCCAAACAATCATCATCGCCAAAACGGAAAAGGAATGATTAGAATGAAGTTTGTAATATGAGGTTTTTGTGTTTAATAAATGTAAAAATGGAACAAACATTAAATTATTTTCATAATCACATTGATGATTTTAATACGTCCTGTGGAAGGGTGTGTCCGAAACAATTGCGAGTTTTACAGTGGAATGTTCGGGGTATCAATGACTTGCATAAATTTCATGACATGCTCATTTCAATTGATCACTTCCTGGTCCCGATTGATTTAGTTATCGTTGGAGAAACTTGGATTAAAAACGGAAACACTGGGCTCTATAAGATAAAAGGTTATAACAGTATATTTTCAAGTAGAGATAACTCATTTGGTGGCTTAGTAATGTATGTGAGAGATACCATTGAATATAAAATCGTTGAAAATGTCTGTAGTGATGGCTTCCATCACATTAATGTCGAATTATTGTTGCCTGAAGGTTTCGTCAATGTTCATGGTGTATAGCGACCACCGTCATATGATTTCAACGTGTTTCATGATCGTTTGGAAAGTTGGCTTAATAAAAGTAGTACAAATCGCCCTTGTTTAATTGTCGGAGATATGAATGTACCTGTTAATCTGTTGAATAATAATGTTGTTTTGAAATATAAATACCTTTTACAGTCATATGGGTTTATGTGTTCTAATATATTTGTTACAAGACCGTCTAGCTCAAATATTCTAGACCATGTTATATGTAAAATGGCCGATGCTCATCGTCTAAGTAATCACACTATCTTTAGCGATTTAAGTGATCATTGCATGATTTTATCTGAGTTCAAATTGCAGGTTGGCACCAATCGGGTAGAGTTATCAAAACAAATAATTAATCACGATAAATTACAAATAGGGTTCAAAAGATACATTGACGGCGTTGGACCTGTACAAGATGTAAACACATGTTTTCAAAATATGTTATCAAACTACAACGTAATATTGAATGATTGCACCAAAACAGTTACAAAATATGTTAACGTTAAAGGTACACAATGCCCGTGGATGAGCCTTGATTTATGGACGTTTATTAAAATTAAAAACAATTATCCGAAAAAATCTCGTCGTGATCCTAACAACACTCGTTGTGCGGAACTATTAAAACATGTTTCGAAAAAACTGGATTTAGCTAAGAAAAAAGCAAAAAAACTTACTTTGAAAGGCTGTTGAACAATACGTCACACTCAAAATTATGGAAAAATATCAACACAATAATGGGCAAATCGCAGAACAATAAAAATCTGTCCTTGGTAATTAATGGCAATTGTATAACTGATAGTAAGTTAATCAGCGATGCATTTAACGAACACTTTTCGACAGTTGGCTCAAAATTAGCAGAAAACATCACTCCGACGGGTTCAAACCCATTGCGACATATATAACCAATTGCAAACTCAATTTTTCTACAACCCGCATCCGCAAATGAGGTTGTCTTACTAATCAATGACTTAAAAACTAATAAAAGTCCTGGTCCTGATCATATCCCAGCAAAGATAATTAAAAATAATGTTGTATCGCTTTCCCGTATTTTGTCTGATTCATTCAATTTAATGATTCAAAGTGATATCTACCCAGATTGTCTTAAAACTGTCAAAGTTATCCCAATATTGAAGTCAGGTGATTCTACAAAACCCGATAATTATCGGACTATATCGATCCTCTCAGTTTTCAATAAAATATTCGAAAAATTATTGATTAATCGCATAGTTCGTTTCTTAGACAATCATAGAGTACTTTATGGTATGCAATATGGATTTCGCAACGGAAGCAGCACTACCGTCGCTATAACTGAACTTGTTGATCATATACTGGAGGAAACAGATTCCAAGAGATATGTAGGGGCTTTATTCTTAGATTTAAAAAGGCGTTCGACACTCTGAATCACGACATTTTACTGCGTAAGTTAGATTGTTATGGGATCAGAGGAGTGGCAAATGACATAGTTCGAAGCTACTTAAAAGGTAGAACTCAATTTGTTTCGTATGACGGAGAAATAAGTTTGCTGAGACAAATAAGTACAGGAGTTCCCCAAGGGAGCAATATTGGGCCCTTACTATTTCTCATTTACATTAACGACATTAGTAAAACTTGCCTTGCTGGTACTCCGAGGTTGTTTGCAGATGACACAGCCTTATTTTATCCGAATGTCGATCCAAAAGCGATAATTTCAAGCATGAATGAAGACTTACAAATTCTCCAGGAATATTTTTGCGATAATCTGCTCTCACTAAATTTACAAAAAACTAAATACATGATCTTCCGACCACCAAGAAAAATCCTTCCAATTGTTCGTAATTTAGTAATGGGTGTTAACGTCATACAGAAAGTTGAGTCATTTAAATATCTAGGTATTCAGCTAGATTGTACATTGTCTTGGGATCTGCATATCAAGGAAGTAGCGAGAAAAGTTTCATCCATGTGTGGAGTTTTGAAAAGGGTTAGTTGTTTCATTCTTCGAAAAATTCTGCTTATGTTCTACTACGCTCACATTCACTGACAGCTGAACAATTTGATTATTGTATGGATCAGAGCCTGTAAATCAAAGCTCAAAAGACTGCAAGTATTACAAAATCGATGTATTAAAATAATCTATAACCTACCCTTCCTGTTTCCATCTGTCCGGTTGTACACAGATTTTCCACATAAAGTATTGCCTATACAAGGCATGTGTGAAGAACAAACATTGCTCTTGATTCATAATATGCAACATAATCCAGCAAGTATCCACAATTTAACTTTAAATGTGACGCCACGATTACACAACACCAGGCAAATTAATCATCTCTCTCGGTCTCGTGCGTATACAAACTTTGGTCAGAAACGGTTTACTTTTATAGGTCCAGCCAAATTTAACAACCTACCCAGAGATATACAGATGATAACAAATCGTTCATCATTTAAATCTAACATTAAAAGTTATTTACAATCGCAAATACCACAACTATTAATTTAAGCTTAATTATATTTTCTTTCTTTTTATTATTATATTTTAACCGTCATCAAACATTTAAGTATTAATTATTTGTCCATCTTTCCTAAGTATGAATATTGATATTAATTTTGTAATGTTTTAAATACATGCGCTTCTTTAAAAGGATACTTTATCCACTAGAAGCGCATAAATTGTTTTGTTCGCAGTAGTATCTCCTTATTGTAGAATTGTAAATCAAAATATGCTCAGCCATTTAATATGTAGTGTTTTGTATTTATGATGTTGCCTATGGCTGAGTTTTTGAGTGTCCACTACCAGGGGACTCAACATTGAGCTTTTTGGTGTGGGGGAGAGTGGAGGGTACTCAAAAAAAAATGTTATCGCAGTGCTTATTATTTGTATCCATCATTTGGTTTAAGGGTCCAAATTTGGCATAATTCGTACGATGATGATTTGTAGCAAATATATTTCTATTTCGTAAATGCCTAGATGGTGTATATAAATTTAAGCATGACAATAGTTCTATTCAATCAATGCGATGTGATACGATATCGTTTACGAAAGAAATCATTCACGACGCTCTTTTAATGTTTGGATATTTATGAGCATACACCGAGCTGTTGTAATTTTCGTCTAGCCCGTGGTTTATCCACTCAGGGTCGGCTGGCTTGCTCGAGGAGGACTCAGAAACAAAGCGGACAAAGGCACAATAAAGCAGATCAAAGACAAGTCATCCTTAGGCTCGGAAAATAGAAATAAAGTTACAAATATAAATTTCACTTAAACATTCTTAAATTTTATTCCAACAAGATACATAGGTTGAAGGGTGAGCTCGTTGCGGCCGTTGCTGCATCCGATGGGGCCCTTTGGTCCGT